TTTTTTTTTTTTTTTTTTTTTTGCAACTATAGGCAGCCTTACCTATTAACATTGACTATTCATAAGTTTTTTTTTCCTTTTTTCAATCTTTTTTTTTTATATCTTTTCCGTTTGAGAGGAAAACGGGGACTTGTGAAGACTTTGGTTTGCCTAGCCCTCTGGAGTAAATAATAAAAGTGGTCAATAGCTTGTTCACAAATGTATGGATTCTGCCGGAATTTTTTATCTTTTACATGTTGATCAATAAGATAGGAGATGATTTTTCCTAGGTTTTTTCTTGTCAAAATCNCAATGGATAAACATAGAACATATAGTAAATTTAAAAACACAAATTAAAGTAAACAGTGAATGGAGGGATGAAAATTAGAACACATCTTCAAATTACAATTATGTCATAAAAGAAAGCAGAACGTAATTGTTGTAAACAAAGACGGTGGAAAACGTTAAGGTACAATTATAATAAAATGATGGGGTAAACAAAACAAAGGGACTTACTACTTGAATTAGCGAGAGAGAAATTTCGGCTACGATTTATGGGCGGAAATATATGGATCAAATTACAATGACGACAAATATCTATGAAGCAAGAAGATTGTGAAAAAATGATAAATAACTAAAATTTAACCCCGACCCCTTCCTTCTTCCTCAGTAGAATAAATATTAAGGTTCCTCCCTCCTCCATTTTTTCTTTTGTCATTTCATCCACAAGAAAATACAGTTCAATTTATTTCTACTGGTATCGTTAGTTCAAATACATTGTCAAAATCACTTTAATCACCTAGAGGAACCAACACCTACACCTGATATATGCGCCCAAGCTTAGAGCCTACATTGTGACAAATTCCAGTTCGAAAAAGAGTATTATCATCATTCATCAACCTTTCAAATGATTTTATATGTGCTTTAGTAATATTTACAACAAGCTGGACAGTATGCATTGGTCACGCATTAGGCCAACTTTTTTTATAAATTTCAAAAATAAAAGATAAAAAGTAAAAGCAAACTTTTTTTTCTCATAGAATACATTGACATACTAAACATATTTTTCTCAGATTTCTTTGTTGAAATCGCTTTTCATAATAAGTTCAAATATTAGTCCTCCTCCAACTTACAATAAATTCTCCACTTTGATATCAGATCCTTAATCATGAAATTTCAGACGTGCAAAGATAACATTCAGCGAAAAGTGTGCAAGACAACCAGAAATACATTGAATCCGTATCTTGGTATCTTATTTCTTGATTCTCAATGCATCCTGACCTTCAAAAGTGTGTTAATCGTAAGTTGTTTCAAATTTGGAGAGAAAAGGTTCTCACATGAAAATCCAGCTAAAACTGAAAGAAAATACCAATCTCTTACCAGCACAATCAGCTAAAGCTGTAACCTTTTTTTTTCTTCTTTCTAGAACCTGTAACTTCACTAAACTTGGAAGTTGTTACTTAGCAATCAGCAAGTGCAATTAGCTGATCAACCACAGTCGGGTCTGCAAGTGTACTAGTGTCCCCAAGCTCATCTAACTGCCTGGAAGCAATTTTCCTTAGAATTCTTCTCATTATTTTCCCACTTCTTGTCTTTGGAAGACCCGGTGCCCAATGTATCTTGTCTGGCGCTGCAAAAGCTCCAATCTGACATGTGAAATAAAAAGCTTCAGACAATGGTAAGAACTTCACGCAATCTCAAACACAAGGAGAATGCTAGTGTACATTCTGCAGTAAAAAAGTTATATGCTCATATTTATCAGATAAGCAGGGACTCAGGTCATGTATTAGCAGTGCTTTCTAACCTCCCCTTTTGTTTTCTGTTTTCTCCTTCTGTGTATGTACAAGGGTATGTATGTTCGAAACAAACAAAATAGGTATGTCCCCAAAGATTGGCGGTGGAGTTTTATGATTCCGTTGTACAAAAACAAAGGTGATATCCAGAACTGCAACAACTATAGGGTATCAAGTTGTTGAGTCACACTATAAAAGTTTGGGAGAGGGTGGTAGAGAAGAGAGTGAGGACAGATGTGTCTATCTCTGAGAACCAGTTTGGATTTATGCCGGGACAATCAACTACAAAAGCCATTTACCTTGTAAGATGATTGGTGGAGCAGTATAGGGAGAGAAAAAAGGACTTGCACATGGTGTTCATTGACCTTGAGAAGGCTTATGACAAAGTCCCGAGGAAGGTGCAATGGATATGTTTGGAGGTTAGCGATAGGTGCAATGGATATGTTTGGAGGTTGAAGTCCCGGTAGCGTACATTAGGGTGATTAATGACATGTACAAAGGTGCTAAGACTCGGGTCAGGACTGCGGGAGGAGACTCGGAATATTTCCCTGTGGAGATGGGGTTGCATCAAGGATCAGCCTTTAGCCCGTTTTTGTTTGCCCTAGCGTTGGATGTGCTGACGCGACACATACAAGGGAGGGTGCCATGGTGTATATTATTTGCTGATGACATAGTATTGATTGACGAGACGCAAGGGGGTGTTAACACTAGGTTGGAAGTTTGGAGTCAGACGCTGGAATCAGTTTCAAGTTGAGTAGGTCGAAAACTGAATACTTGGATTGAAAGATCAGTGATGAGAGGCCCGAGGAAGAAGTGGAAATAAAGATTGATACTCAAATAATTCCCAAAAGAGATAGTTTCAAGTATCTTGGGTCTATAATCCAAGGCGCCGGGAGATTGACGAGGATGTTACTCACTGCATTGGAGCGGGTTGGATGAGATCGAGGTTAGCTTCGGGGGTTTTATGCGACAAGAGTGTGCCACCTAAACTTAAGGGCAAATTCTACAGGGTGGTGGTTAAACCAGCTATGTTGTATGGAGTTGAATGTTGGCCCGTCAAGAAGTCTCATGTCCAAAAGATGAGCGTAGCTGAAATGAGGATGTTAAGATGGATGTGTGGACATACCAGGAAAGACAAGATTAGGAATGAAGTTATTAGGGACAAGATAGGAGTGGCATCCGTGGAAGACAAGTTGCGGGAATCGAGGCTGCAATAGTTTGGGCATGTGAGGAGGAGAGACATAGATGCCCTGGTCAGGAGGTGTGAGAGGTTGACCATGGCAGGCTTGAGGAAAGGCAGGGGTAGGCCAAAGAAATATTGGGGAGAGGTGATTAGGCAGGGCATATCGGTGCTTCATCTAACTGAGGACATGACTAGTGATAGGAAAGTGTGGAGGTCGAGGATTAAGGTGGTGGGTTGACAGGTAGTTGTGACTTTTTCCTAGGCTTACCAGTAGTAGTAATATTCTTATCGTTGGTTGAAAGATACTTTCTTCTAGTTTGTTAGTATATCTGGTACTTAGCTACCACGTCCATTGTTTTTTTAAAATTGCTACAAGAAATTGTTGCTCCCTGATTGTTACTATTTGATGCTACTTTTTCTCCCCTTCTATGGAAATTGTTGCTCCCTGATCGTTACTATTTAATGCTACTTTTTCTCCCCTTTTTCCTTGTTGTCTGTCGTCTCCCTCTTCTTTCTTTCTTCTCTCTCTTTCTTCTTCTTCTTCCCTTTTCTACCTCACCACCTTTTCTTGAGCTGAGGTAGGGGTAAGGTCTGCGTACACACTATCCTCCCCAGACCCCACTTGTGGAATTATACTGGGTTTGATGTTGTTGTTGTTGTTTTCTCCAAAAATCCAGTTCAACCAAATTTTCAAATACCTTACCCAATATCACGGGTTAAAATGTCAGACCGGTCAAGGAGATGACTACTAAAACCAACTACTACTTCAATACTAAACTCCGGAAAAAAAAGCAACAACAACAACAAAAAAAAAAGAATGTCCTTAAGTCTATCAACCAGACCGCATATTTGATACTAGTCTTAGTAAGCAGGTAAAAAGGATGCTATGGTCCTAAATACAACTTGAACACTTTGCAATGGAAAGGCGAGGCTCTTAAAGCTTGAAGATTGGCATGTACACTAACTCCATTAAACCTTGTGTAAGTAATAGCTTCAGTCCTATGGCTGGATTTTCTCTTCTTTTTCTTTCGTTTTCCATTAAGTTCTGAGAGTTTATGGACTTCCTATTTTGCCCCATTGGTTGATAGTAATCAAGTAGCATGTCTAATAAAGGGAAAAACAAACAATAAGCAAATATCGGATCACCAGAGAGGATGGAATAAATATACCTGGTTCCTAACAACCATCACAAGACTTTTTCGCAGGTCATCACTGTATGGAACACCTTCGACCAGAGTAACAAATGCATATATTCCCTGTCCTTTAACCTTTCAGGCAGACTCCAGAAGAACAGATTAGAGTAGAGAACGGAAACTTTCACATAAACTCAGATGAGAAGTAGAAACATGAAAATACCTCATGCTCTACACCAACCACAGCTGCTTCAGCACACTGAGGATGGGAAACTAGAGCAGATTCCACTTCAGCTGTGCCAATACGATGTCCACTGCATGTGTAAAAAATACTTCATACAATATACAAGTAGAACTACCAGTTCAACTAGGTACAATATAATAGTACCTGCAAAATACTCGCTTCCAATTGAATTTGCACTATTAAAGAATACTTCCAGCAAAAACGACACTTCAAATTTTCAAAATTGAAAGGAATTTGCTCAGTTCCCAGAAGGAATTTTCTTGTTCCTAACTTTTTTCAAACTCTAATTAGGTTCTGAAAACGTGAAAATTCATATGCAAACTATACCTCACATTAATCACATCATCTACTCTTCCAGTGAGCCAGCAGTAACCATCTTTGTCCCTGAAACAGAAGTTTGAACATTACAATGGAAAATCAGTCAAAACAGGTGCAAGAAATCAGAGAAGAAAAAGCAAATTATGTCTACAGATTCCCTTATGATAATGTATATAGACAACCAGGAATCCACTTTATTGAAAAATACCTGCTGCAGCCATCACCACTAAAATAATAGCCAGGGAAGGCACTAAAGTATGTGGCTTCATATCTTTCGTGATCCCCATAAAGTGTTCGAAATGCCCCAGGCCATGAACTTTTCACACACAGGTACCCGCTGCACTCACCTTCAATCTCAACACCTTTCTCGTCCACTATTACTGGCTGCATGATTTTAGAACATCATGACCATATGATGGACAAAAAGCAAAGACCAAATTTTGGAGGCTCTTCCTTGTTTCACATTATCAACAACAACAACAACAACAACGGCCTAGTGGAATCCCACATTATCATGATAAATAAAAGTACAAGCTCTGCATGACTCCAGTTTTAACTTTCCTTAAACATACAGTTATCATGTATTAAATCCTAAAGATATTCAGACATTCTAAAAGACGGTATTGCATGGCACGAGAGACACCGTCACATAATCTGCTAGACAGCAAACTCAATAATATCATTCCAACAATACCAAATGAAAGACTGGGTTCCAAATATACTTGGAGGTCTGTTATTATCCTAAGCAGGTACCTGGACTCCAAAGAAAGGAAAAGTAGCAGAACCAGGTTTCTGCGGCCATGCTCCTGGTAAAGGAGTAATCTAGAAAGAAATAATAAAGACTGAAGTAAGACATTCATTTTTATGTGAATGATAAAAATGATGAAAGCAGTAACTGAGATACCATGAAGCCACCGGTTTCTGTTTGCCACCATGTGTCAGATATGGGGCACCTTGCATCACCTACCACATTGAAAAACCACCTGCTCAAAGATAAACAAAAACTTGAAGAAAGCATGTCGTGGATGTTCTGATATTCAGGGAAAAATAGACAAGCAAAAGATCCATATGTATAGCTGACACCTCCATGCACTTGGATTGATAGGCTCCCCCACACTTCCAAGCACCCGTAAAGATTTGCGTGAATATCGAGAGACATGCTGAAAAGTCAAATGAACAGATACATATAAGTTATACGACTTGTATGTATTGATATTAAATAATTATCAATGTCTTAAATAGAAAAATAGGGAGTTTTACCTTTTCTTTTTAATGGAAAAAGTATTTTATTGATTGAATAGGAACAGCACGCAGACACGATGTACATATAAAGCATTAATATTTCATACCAAAGCAAAGCATGATTTACTATGAATAGCATCCAATCATGTGTAGTAACAAGAATACTAAGTGCTCTAAAAAAGTATAAAAATAAAAAGGTTCCTCCAACTTGTGCAAAATGTACTTTTAATTCCTCCGAATGCCCTCCTATTTCTCTCCTTTCACATGGCTCACTTGATTGCTAAAGCTGCTATTTCCCATACTCTTCTCCTCTGCCTCCTCCTTCAGAACTTCCATCCGGATTGATGGATTCTCACATCAACCATTCAACTCCAAGCATGTTCCATATGGTGCATTATAATTGGTATAAAATTGGGGAACTAAGTAGAGCAGATAATGAACATCTTCCTCTGCCTTCTTGCTCAAAAAACACCAGCTTATGCATAGAATTCTTCTCTCTAAAATCGTCTGCTCTTAGGATTGCTCTCCATGCAGCTGTTCATGCATGGGACACTTTTCCTGTAGCTTTCGGAATACAATGGGACAAGGGATACACAGGGATGAATAAGGAAAATTATTGTTCCACTCTTTTAGAAAGATTAAATTAAACGTTTCTTTCTTTCGTTCATTAAGTATCTTTCTTAGAGCATGTTTGGCCAAAGCTTCTGAGAGGTCAAAAACACTTTTTTAAGAATTTGGGGTGTTTGGCTACAATGGAGAAGTGTTTTTGAGCTTTAGCAGTTTTGGGAAGAAACTACAAATTCTAGCTTCTTTCATACGCAGAAAATTTATTTGTCAAGACTAAAATATCCTTACCAAAAATTTATATTTTTCAAATTTTCCCTCATTAATTTAATCTTTTCATTTCCCTTTTTGTTTCTAACATCCATTTGTTCTCTCTTTTTTATTTATTTCCACTGTACTTTTATTCACCTTCTCCAATTCCTTTTTGGAATAGTCGAAGACTCGCCCTCGTCGAGAAAAAGAAGAATGAATGAGGTACACATGAAGCACCAACTGACACAAGTAATCATCATCTTCCTCAAGTTCTCTACCGTTTAGACCACCCCTCGTGCAGTTAGCCAAGTGTAAAAGCACACCATTCTCGATACCCTAATGATCCTTACTGAGATATGTGGAAAAGCTAACTCTCCCTATCAGAAGCTCATTATAATAGGACTTAACAAAAAAGACAGCATTTTCCCCGCCCCAATCTCCATACATCTTCGCTATCTTGTGAAATTCTATGTTTGTGAAACAAATCGACCAAATTTTGAACTTCTTCACCTCCCAATCTTGCAAGTTCCTTCTGACCTAAAATCCCAAAGCACTTCTTCCCATTGTAGACTCTATAATTGTTGGACTGACATCTTCTTTTCGCATGAAATTCTAGCCATGTTTGAAAATGTGATTGTCAAGATGCTAACCACCTAAGTCCCTAAAAATTCATCCTCCTTCACTCACCTGACTAAATGAAACATTCCATAAACTTTTATGTTTGTGTAAGAGTTAAAGTAGTTTGTTGAGCTCCTCCATTACCCAATATTACAAATTTCTCCTCGATCTTTTTGTAGATTTGACCCACCATTGCAGCTTGTTGAGATATATATACAAGATTTCTCAGGAGCTTAACATAAAGTACAACTTCACACCACCGTTGTCTCTAGAAATAAATTCTTGTCACATTACATGCTTCGAGTTCAACATTTTGATTGGTTTACATAGCCCTTCATTATATAGTTCCATAGAGAGACTTTCCTAACCCTCTTGCTACGACCACTAGTACAGTAAGGACATGCAATAGGCAGGGATGACAAATAAGGTGCTCTTAACCAACACTTCTTGCTCGTCTTCTTACCAAGTATTTTTTAATCCAACTTGCTAGCTTCTTTTCAATTCTCGCAATGGATGGACTTCATGTTGCTCATTCCTTATGCTTTGCTCCTAGTAGTCCTATTTAAGTTGTAGGAAGAGATCCCACCCTACAACCGAGTAGTTCTGCTAGTGCTTCAATAATTACTGTGATGTTTAACGGACCTATATTTCTTTGAAAATCTTTAATCCATAGAGTGTCTCAAACCATAAAATAGATTCCTCAAGTGCCTGAGTTAATTCATGTCGACATCACGAAATACAAGGAAATCATTGGCGAAGAACATGTGAGAAACTTGGACATCATCTCTATTCCATGGTGAAGCTGAGAAATCCCTCGAGAAACCCACTATTATTGCTTTATCTTCGTCTTGCTAAATATCTCCCCAGACAAAATAAATAATATGGGTGATAAAGGGGTGTGTGGATCCGCCTGCGCACCTTGACTATTCCACTGGGTACTTGCTACCTCCTTTTCCACCCAAAAACTCCTATTAATTGTGTTGGTATCTCTTCCTTCTTGTTTTTTTTCTAAACACACAAGACTCAGACCTCACTCCTTTATCCCACATTTATGATGTTTCTCTTTTTCGGATAATCATCTCCCTTTCCTCCTACTATAATATTTTATCTTCAATGTATAACAACTCCTTTTAACCCCTCGCATTCCTACTAGTGTATCTATCTCATCGAAAAATTTAAACTATTAGATATGACATACTTTTATTTACTTAATTATGTTAACGCATCCCCTCACATGCAAGTCTAATTTCTTTTCATAGGATTAACATACGCACGTTATGGACGACGACAATGAGATTTTAAAAAGACCTACATCGACTGCAACACTATATTGAATTATGTGACTTCTCCATCTAAAAGATTAAGCTTAGAGATTGCAACTTTCTTTCATGGGGTAAGGTAAATTTCATTAATAAAGTGCTAAGGAAGTACTGCAAACTAAAGACAAAAGATTACTAACATATATGTTGCCATTTCATTCCCACCAATTCCAACGCAAAATATTAACTATAGAAACATGTTGGCCTTGGCCTTTGTTAAAGAATAAATGTAGGCATATTTCTTGTAATATACATGACAGCAAAGCTATAGGGATTTGATTGCAGATATACAGGATTTTCCTTTTCAGATTCTTTCCATATTAGGACACTCTCTCTCTCTCTCTCTCTCAAAATATTAACTATAGAGGCCTTTGTTAAAGAATAATGTAGTCATATTTCTTATAATATACATGATAGCAAAACTATACAGATTTGATAGCAGATATATAGGATTTTACTTTTCTGGTTCTTTCCATAGTTAGGACACTCTGTCTCTCTTTATATATATATACACACACACACAAACACACATATATACACACATATACATATATATATATATATATATATATATATATACGTATGTATCTATTATTATTTCATGGAATAATATATCAATTATGTCTATTCCATGGAATCAAAGCGGATCGTTTACTTTCCCGGAGTGAGTCGGGAAAATCGCTGGAAGAGTGACTTAGTTTCGAACAAAATCAGGTACTTTGGAAGGAAATTGGGAATTGAAATTTTGTTGTCACCACCTACATAGAGAGGGCCTCGCACCCCTGATCTACAGAACCCTAGATTTCGGTGGCCGACAAAGACGAGAGTGAGTGTCATGCACCGGCGAAATATTTACCGGTAGTTGTGTAGTGGCATCGCGTGCATTGCCAGAAATTAATTTTGTTCGATGTTCGAGCATCACCTCGACATCTCCGGTTAGAAGTTGGTGCAAGCTTGTTCGATAGGTTTCGTTTGGGGAGAGTTTTGACAATTTCCAAGTTATATCCTTCTCGATTTGTCATCTTATGTTCTCCAATCTGATCTTTTGTGGCTATAAATTCGATTTTTGTTGCTTGGAATTAGTTTGTTCAATATGTTCTCTTCTGTTGTGTGAGAGTTGTTGTATTAATGGTTTAGTGGTCTGATTTGATTATTGTCTGAGGGTTGTGAGCTTTGTTGATCCAGTTTGCTTCATTTCTAACGTCGTTCTGAAGTTTCTGACGTATCTGTGGTTGCTCCCAAATCATTTGGGCACGCTTGCGGAGACTAATCTCATCCCAGATTCTTTGCTTCTGGCTCAGAACTTTCCCCTTGACTTATGTCGTTGAGTTGGTTGTATACTGGTTTGAAGCCATCTATTTTGTGGAGTTGTATCTCCTTTTCTATTCTGAATTTTGTTAATTGGAAAATGACAGTTGGAAGAGGAAATAAGCCTTATGTTATTACTGTTGCCTCGAATCTATCATTTAAAAAAATATTGGTTTCGGTGGATGAGTTTGCAAAGGTCTCTCAGTATCGAGAATCACTTAAGGAATCCACTACAGTTACTACCCTTGTTGAGTTAGGAAAAACATATCTTATCTCCTCCTATTCAAATAAATGGGTGATTGATTAAGCTGCCACTAATCACATGACAGGTAATCCCAATACCTTTTCCACATTTCAATCACACAAAGCACCATCTCCTGTGATTATAGCTGATGGGGGATCTGGAACTGTTAGACTAACCTCATCTATTACTCTGTCGTCTGTGTCAGGTCTTTGTATAGCTTGAAGTAGAGTCCCTAACTTGGTTTGGCAAGTTCAGTGATATAGTTCAAGAGTTTGGGATGAAAATGAGCAAATATGACCACTCAGTCTTATATCTGCAATTAATAGCAGGGGCTATCCTCCTTGTTGTATATGTTGATGATATTGTCATCAATGCGGGAATCTCTTCCCTCAAGTCTTTCCTGCATACTAGATTTCATATGTTGAACGATTTGAGCCCGTTAAAATATTTTTCTCCAGACCTCACTTGTGGGATTTTACTAGGTTGTTCTTGTTGTTATAGAAGTAAATAGAAGCAAGAAAGGAATTCTTCTGTCTCGGAGAAAGTATATTTTTGACCTACTTGCAGAAACTGGAAAGTTGGCAGCCAAACCCTGCAGTACTCCAATGGTCCCTAATCTGCATCTTATGAAAGATGATGGCGATCTTTTTGATGATCCACAGAGATAGGAGGTTAGTTGGAAAGTTAAACTATCTCACTATGACTCGTCCCAATATTGCTTTTGTTGCAAGTGTTGTTAGCTAGTTCATGTCCGCACCTATGGTCAAACATTGGGAAGCTTTGGAGCAATTCTGTTACTTGAAATGAGCTCCTAGACTTGGCATATTGTATAGCAATCATGGCCATACTCGTGTTGAGTGTTTCACAGATGCTGACTGGGCTGGATCCAAAATTGATATAAGATCTATTACACGAAACATCATACACCATCAAAACTCTGGTGTGATAATCAAGCTCAAGCATCATACACCAGCAAAACTCTGGTGTGATAATCAAGCTGCTCTTCATATTGCCTCAAATCCGGTGTATCATGAAAGAACTAAACATATTGAGGTTAGAAACTATAGGGATTTGATAGCAAATCTATAGGATTTTCCTTTTCAAATTTTTTCCAAAGTTAAGATTCTCTATACATGTATATATATATATATATATATATATGTATGGAATAATATATCAACTATTACCCCATACCTTGTTCTATTACAACCTTTAAAATATCCCTTATTTCTTAGTAACCCGATAGTTAACATGACACATCGAGGGATGGTTTTTCAGATCAAAAATGGTAAAAGGATTGAGAAGGCAAGAAGAGGTGAGATGAGTTGTTGTAGACATAACCAAGTAAATAAAAGTTTGCAAGGTTTAACTCCTCTTTGGCATAAAGCCATAAACTATGTTTGAAACATCAGCTTCTTAAGTTGTATCTTTTTTTTCTTAATTTCATTATGGAAAAACACTCAATAAGAGTTTTCTAGGAGTTTTACCAAAAGAAAACATTTATTTTCTCTATACGTTAATGAAGTTAGGCATAAAAGATGAGCCCATTTACTTAAGATATACCCTCAGGTTTTCAGGCATGCTCTACATGATACCCCAACAGGACTTAAGCTCTTCTACAAAGCCAAGGGGTGTTTTCCGTTTGCCTAGCCACTAGGCCAGCTCTATAATCATCCGTTAAAACAATGGTTATTCTAACTGCATACAACGAAAAAATACGATAGAAGAATTGAATAACAACCAGCTAGATATAGGTGAAAATAAGTAGATGTATCCTTGCCTCATCTCCCTCACGCATCAGAGACCTCACCAGAGTGGGAGCTGTATAAAATATTGAAACCTTAAACTTATCAACAATATCCCAACAACGTCCAGCATCTGGATAACTTGGGGCCTACAAAATCAAAATAACAATGTCAGAAAGAAGATGCTAGTCAAGTGCAACCCTGCTTTCACAAGGTTCACATTTTTTTTATCAAACTTCTAAACAAATTAGAAAGCTTCACTCATTTCAACAATGACCAACATCTAAACATAAGAATGAGTGGAAGACTATTTGATTAGAGCTAACAGAATTGCATAAGGGATCGAACCAATATTGCAAGGACACAGATCTAGCAATGGACATGGGACACAAGAAACTTATGAAATTAAGGGAGAACCGATTATGACGCCAATAAGAAGGAATTGGTGAAAATGTATCCCCATCAGTGAAAATTTCAAAAGACAACATAGGTAGAGACAATCCATAAATTATTAAAACCATCAACTCATATACTGGAAGTCCTTTTTTTATAAGGTAAATACTTTTATTAATGATGGGGAAACCCTGTATAAAAAAAGGAAATGCCAAAACATAGAAAGTCTACACCAAAATATGGTTCTCTATGAAAGAAATCCAATCTTCTGTATAAGTGGGGACCTCATGGGTACACCCAAAGGAAACTAGAAACAAAAGAATACTTTGCAATTTACAAAATCTTGGTCTACCCCTTCAAATGCCCTTCTATTTCTCTCTTTCCAAATGACCCACATGATAGCTGGTGGAGCAACATCTCAAGCCCTTTGTCTTCTCCTCCCCCTTTATTTCAATTTATATGACACACTCCACAAATTATTAACATTAAAATACATACTCCCTCCGTTCCAATTTATGTGACACACTTTCGTTATCAGTCCGTTCCAAAAAAATGACATGTTTCTATATTTGGAAACAATTTTACTTTAAACTTTTCATTTACCCTTAATGAGAAGCTTTTATAGTCGCACAAATTGAAAGCCCAACAAAAGCTTTTATCCTTTGAGCTTTTAAGACCACAAGTTTTAGAAATCTTCTTTTTTTCTTAAACTTTTTGTCGAGTCAAACTATGTCACATAAATTAAAATGGAGGAAGTATATCCTGCTTCTTTTCTTCTATAATGCAAACAACGCATTTAATAATCCTTCTATCCATTTTATGTGATACTTTTTTTTTAGTCAGTTCCCAAAAGAATGACTCCATTCTCTTTTCTAGAAGCCATTTAATCTTATTTTTGATAACCAAGATGTTCCCACAGCCAATGGCGCACTGTTCAAAACTCAATAGATAACGGACCCACCCTTCTATACTTAATATCAACCTTTTGTTTGTGAAAACTATTCAATCTTAATATTCACATTTTACCCTTGATGACATGACTTGTTGGGGACCCATTTAATATAAAGTTCATCTATTATAAGGGAGAAAAATGAAAAAACATGTGGAACTTTAACCACCACTTGGTACTTTGCATAACTTTGGCTTACACATCAAAGGCCTTCTTTACTTTCTTATGTTCCACTCCAGTCAATTACCTTCACATAAGATGGGGCGGAAGAAGTATCAAAGTACCAGAAAAATTATAACATCACGAAAAGTTCTATATTAATTTTTTAGACAACATTGACCCACTTTTTCAAATTTGGGTACATTTACGTTTTCTGCTTTATATTAATAAAACATTACTTGCTTATTCAAGTTTGTTCTCGATGTTTTTAATTGAGCAAGGGAATGGATGGGGTAACTGAGTAACTTTAAGAAACTTGAAAGGGGAACACTAGATTTAGACTTTCAGTTGAATAGCCTATGTTTAATATCAATTTCTTGAAATGATTATCTGAAACTTGTGAGCTGAGAATATACTTTTAAACCATAGTTCTTCGCATAACGGTTAGTCCCTAAAACATCTTATCTCAAAATCCGTAGAAATATAGGTTATTGGATAGAACACATAGATTCACAATAGGCATAGGAATATGTAGTATATGGGTACTTGTGACTCTAGCGCAACACTACATGACTTCAAATTTAAGTAAGAACGTAGTAAAGATCCAATGAACTATAAAGTCAACTTATGATCCTAGGTTTCTTTAAGAGCAATATAATTCTAGTCTTAATTCTTTATTCTTTTCTTAAAAGTTCTATTCATTTTGGATTTCATCTGATTTGGAAGTCTACGATTCACAGAGAGGAAGTTCTTCCTACCTCAATAAAATCTACGATTGATTCAAAATCTGTCATGATTTAAGCAATTAGGGATCATATAACTAGGTCCTACACACGTCAATATGTTACTACAACAACAACAACAATATACCCAGTATCCACATAGTGGGGTCTGGGGAGGGCAGTGTGTACGCAGACCTTACCCCTACCTTGTGGAGGTAGAGAGGTTGTTTCAAATAGACCCTCAGCTCAGACAAGCATAGGTACCCCAATAATAACAAGAAACAAGATGGGACAACACCAAAAAATCATGTAAAAGCAGCATGCATAACAAGATAGTAAGATGATCGAAATGCAACAAGCCTACTACCAACCAAATGCGAGAGTACGAACTAACACTACCGGTATGAATGATCAAGACTACCTAACCTACTATCCTAATCTTCAACCTCCACACCTTCCTATCACGGGTCATGTCCTCGGTCAGTTGTAGTTGCGTCATGTCATGCCTAATCACCTCACCCCAACTCTTCTTCGGCCTACCTCTACCTCTCCTAAGGCCCTCCAATGTCAACCTCTCGCACCTCCTTACCGGGGCGTTTGTGCTTCTCCTCCTCACAAGTCCAAACCATCTAAGTCATGCTTCCCACATCTTGTCCTCAATAGGGGTCACACCCACCTTGTCCCGAATAACTTCATTCCTAATCTTATCTAATCTGGTGTACCCGCACATCCATCTCAACATCCTCATCTCGCGTCAATATGTTATTGTTTATTGGAATTACATTTACTTTCTTTTAAGTGCTATAAACTTTTTCTGCCATCGTACTATTTTTGGGGATTTGCTTCTATTAAATACATGATGATTGAAGCCAATTTTGGTCTCAAACAAAGTTAGGTTTTACATGATTTGGATACTTCAAAATCACGAGAATTGATACTTCACTCTTCTTTTTGTAAGGTAATGGTTAATACTTTACTCACCATTATCTTACTTGTTAAGATAAGTGTACTTGCCATGTAAAATTTGCAAAATTAACCTCTAAACTTGCTTTTGTTCGACTACTGGTTCACACTCTTCAACTTCTAAAAGAAAGAAAATCACACAGTTTTTTAGCAACACCAATCTAGCACTCATCAGACTAAAAGGCAGATTCCACAGTTCTGACGCAAAGGTATAATATAATAGTAGATCACTGATCACTTCTCCGATTCCTTTTGAATATGAACCAAGTTCACAAAAAGAAAAGGTAAAAATTTACGCTGACGCATTATTGCTATTGCTCCTTTCTTTTTTTCTTTTTATTTATTTATAAGTATTTTATTACTAGTATTTTACTTACATAAGACCATTTTGTTTACATTATAGAAAAAGAAGGAGAAGGCTATTTCCCCGCATTCATTCATGATTGAGTATTCTATTTTGATTTTGTATGTATTTAAAATTGTCGAAATATGACTTGTTTCTCTTGTTTCTAATGTCATTATTATTGTCAATTTTGATAACCGTTTTATGCTGATGTATTAAGCAAGCCTGTTAACATATATTCTCACTCTTACTAGGATTTCAGCAGTAAGAATCACGCTCCAAGCAGCTGTGACATAAAAAGGGCAACGCTTGGCTATGAAGAAGGATCTTGCACCATGTGTATCCAGAAGGGTTTTAATATCACAAGTAGCAACACATTCCACTGAAGCGTCAAACCCCTGCTCAGATTGCTAGTGATCTGTCTTACAACATCAGCCACCAATGCCTCCTTACAAGTATTAATACCAAACAGCTAATTGAACTTAACCTTCAAAGCACTCCCCTCACACAACCAATGATCCCAGAAAAGAATTCTCCATCCATATTTGTTCCCCGGTAGAGCTCCATTGAAGATTTTGATCTTCCTCGCCCCTAATCCTTTTCTCTAATTGGAAAAGTTACTTAGTTTCAAGCAATAAGGTGGGATTTTTGTCACCTTCACCATCATCCTAGAAGAAATCCCTTTGCAGGCACTCTATATCCCAAGAGAATGTATGAAGAATAAGTTGTAATGCACGAATTAAATAGGATATCTGAAACGGAATACTATGGGAGTGCTATACAATAGAAAAATACCTACCAAAATAAAAGGCAACCTTTATAAAGTGATTGTGAGACCAACAATGTTATGCGGGAGTGAGTGTTTAGCCTCTAACGTCCAATATATCTTTTCGTAGAAATGTGAATATTAAGATGGATATGCACTAATACAAGATTAGAAACGATTAGATTCTAGAGAAGATATCTGTAGCAGACTTGGAGGATAAAGTGATCGGTCGCTTGAGATAGTTAGCCATAAACTTCCAAAGCACCGTCTTGAAGGTAGAATGCTATGACAATTGAAGTTGTTAAAGGAGGACAAGGTAGACCTAACATCATCATCATCAGTCTTTTTTGTATATTTAGATATTTGCATGCCAGTAAAAGGTTAAAGAACCTCTTCTTTCTTTTTCTGGAAAAAGAAAAAAAAGGTTAAAGAACCTGTAGAGTTTAGAAACCCTAATTTGTCTTAAACAACACATTATTGAGTATTGAACGACATGGGTCCACATTGAGCAAAATGTATGGTAGGGATTCATATAATTAAATTTTAACTAGCTTGGGCTTGACTTAACTGTCATCCATTGTCTACTTCAAATTTATATGGATAAGACTATCAAAAAAAGAAACCGCAAGATTGGGTGTGTTCCAACTTGTATAGAAGATTGTTTGTAGTTCATAGAGAATCTATTATGTTGTAGATACCTACTTTCTGGCAAGCTGCTTGTATATGTAGATTTTCTCATTATTAATAAATTGCCTTATAAAAAAAATGAAAATGCAGGAGAAGAAGAAAATTAGAATTTAATTATTCAAACTTGCCCTTTATTAACTACCTTTGCTAAATGCTTTCACTTAATCAAGCTATATTTGGACCAGCAGATGATGTTTGGTAATAATAAAATAAATACCCCTTCAAAAATCACAACAGTTGCTCCATTTAGCAAAGGTCCATAGGTTACATAGCTATGCCCAGTTATCCAACCACAGTCAGCTGTACACCTACACATAGTAAAAAGAATCCAGGGAAAACATATTTCAAGAAATTTGACCTAGTATTAGAATAATGAAGAGAAGTATAGAAGAAAGAGCTGTCTTGGAAGTACCAATATATGTCTGTAGGCTTGTAGTCAAATGCATATTTGAATGTTGTAGCAGTGTACACCATATATCCTCCCGTTGTATGCAGGACACCCTTTACACAAACTGGAGAATATAAGACACTAAACATGTGAAAAAAAGAGTGCAAATCTAGGAAGCATGAAACCTTAGGCTTTCCGGTACTCCCGCTGGTGTAAAGCAGGAAAAGTGGATCTTCTGCGTCAACCCACTCCACATCACATGTAACTGGATATTTCGGTATAACATCCTGGAACCACACAAGCAAGTTGGACCCGACTGATCAATAAGAAGTGAAATCCATAAGGACTACATACAAGACCTTAGCCTATAAGATGATGGACAGCAAGATTAAATAGGTCTTAAAATTTACTGTATGGTCCATATATACAACTGTCATGTACCATTGGACTACAGGGTAAGGTAAATTCACAAGACACATATAAGGAGAAGAGATGTCAACCAGAAATACTAGCCGAGAAACCCAAACTAACTGTGTTCATTAACAAAATCCATAATTACTTGGATACATCTGACCAAGCAACCATGCTCATTAACAAAATCAGAGTTCTGTACATACATCTTGCAAGCAATAACTCTTTTGAACTTCAATGAAAATCGACATCACTATTAGAAAAATAAAAATATTTAACATGAATCCTGATTATGAGAAGAAAAATTAAATAAATAAGAAAAGGCGTGTCAGACAGAGCTCTGCAATTACAGAAGCTTCAAAATTATAGGTATCAATTCTTTAATTGAACCCGTATTTCAGAAAGTGCATGTGTTGCCAACCTGCCACCAAATGTCTCGCCCCTTGATCCATTTAGTCATTTCCTTTTTCATTGCTGATTCATTTTCATATGTCAAACACACATCTGCAAGGTGCAATAAGAAATAAAGATGGAAATCAATATACCATATCATCGTCATTACCAAAATAAAATAAAAGTGCAAGTAAAAGATAAAAACAATAATAGTAACAAATAGAAGTTCTCTACCAAGTCTAAAACCTATTCCCAATTAGTATGATGCAAAATGATTTAGCAAAAAAAAACCATTTCAAAAAAGAAAATAGCAAACAAAAACAAGTACCAGTAATCAGTTTGGAATCACTTTATAATCCTCGATTCTTTTTTATGAGGTAAATAATTTTATTAGTAATAGTTCTCAATCTAACTTATCACTTTGCATTGCTTGCTTCCTTTATATTTAACAACTTCCCTTTCCTTTATTAAAAATATATAACTTCCCTCTCACGTATGTACAGATTAATGAAGCTGTAAAATCAAAGTTTAGGCCGCAAACTGAAATCATACCCAATCCAAGACGGACACCATAGTGTTTACGCCACCCAAACAGTAGTCCAACACTTATTCTTAATAATTTTTCACAATGAACATAATAATTTATCGGTGTCATGGGGTAACCCCTGCATACAAGTATACAAAGAGCAAAGAACCCTACACAAGTACATGATTTTCACGAAGCACCCATTTATAGCATGTATGTACGCAGGGCAATTAAGCAACAAATGGTCAAACGCTCTGTATTCTTGTACATGAAGTACCAACTAATGCAAATTGTCCCTCTCCTCAAGTTTTCAGCTGAGTGGCTCCTTACTTTAATATCAAAGCAAATAATGACACTCTTAGTCGAAGCTCTAGGATCCCATATCGAAACATGAGAAAAAATTTCCCCGTTTTCCCTCCCGAGTACTCTGCTACAGAAAGACTTAACTATGAACATGCCCTCTCTTTGTTCCCTATCTCCAACTTTTGTTGTCATTGTCCATAAGTGATCTGCTTGTAAAATAATTCCACGAACCTGCTGAGTTAAAATCGCTCACTTTTGCAAATTCTTTCCAAAACTTAGGTCTCCACCATATTCCTTTACATATATAGTTTGTATTGCCATTCAACAACAACAATAGAACCAATAGTTTCCCACAAGTGGCGTTTGGGGAGGGTAAGATGTACGCAACCTTACCCCTACCCCTGGAAGGGCAGAGAGATTGTTTCCGATAAACCCTCGGCTAGAGAACGACTGAAGGAGGAGGAGTTGTTCTTTCAATAAGTTATTTAAATTCTATCATAATAGCATCCAGAGGATGCAGCTCAACAAAAACTGGGTGGTTCGGGTTCCTAAACAATACTCAAGGAACCAACAAAATCAAGAAGTTGATGTACATCATGTTTTGATGAGGGAGTTGATGTACATTTACAATATTCAGTTTATCCAGCTAAACAAATGCAATAAACACCAAGATTTTACAGATGATATGGAGGTGAAGGTTCCTTCAAAGCATCTCAAATCTCCCTCCCTGCAAAGCATCCAAGAAAATACAACCTGGTATGGTCTGCCATAGTTTTTAATAGGCTTCTCTACCCTCCAGCAGCACCCACTGATGAAGGTAGCCTTTCCAGTGGATGGTGTCACCCAGTGCATTCCAAAAAGGTTCATGAGCATATTCCAGAGGTTTCTTGCCACAGGCAGAGTTTGCTACCACATATAAATGTTTATAATCTGTTTCGTGTTTCTTTTAGCAGTTTGAAGTGCTCACAGTGATATCTTTATCTCTGTGTTGATGTTCAATAATTTGGTCTTATTTACTCCTTCATTAATGAGGCCTAATGTAAAGCAAATTATGAATACCCCCTTAAGCCTCTTCACAAGTAATGATTGTTAGGAAGAATATTCTACTGTCATTGCCACTTATTTGCTCTCTATTCTTCTTTAGTAATCTTCCCATCCAATGTTTGCATCCTTCTTAATGATAAACCAAGAGAAATGAACAATGCAAGATCAAATGGGTAATGGCACATAAAGCAACCAACCTTGGGGGGGCTAATACAGCTTGCTACTCCAAATTACCAATAGTCTGCCATATGTGGCCATGAATCTACAACATAGTATGATTTTCTACAAACGACAACCAATCTTCTATACACACTGGAACCTCATGGGTGCACCAAAAGAAACTAGGAACGAAAGGTTATCCCTCAAAAGTGCATAGTTGTTCTTTATCCCATCAAAAGCTCCTATGTTTCTTTCCTTCCACAATACCCACAAAAGTGCTAGTAAGACAACATTTCATGCTTTTGAGACGACAATTTGATTTACTAAAAGACAAGCGAGTTGCTAACTGCTCAACTGTGAAGTGGGTAGCACATCACTGGGGTTTTTNAAGTCTACTTTGTTCATTTACCAGAAATAAAATAAAGAAATTTGGTGCATTTTAAAATCTTCTCACCTGTATTGATGCCATTTTGAGCAGATTCCATAAGGGCTCTATCAACAATTTCTTTGAGATAAATGATCTTGGACCCCCTCATAACAGCATTGCACGTTATGACGACCTTCGGTCTGCAATCCATGATTCTTTGAGCAAGAGATTCAGCTGAGAACCCAGCAAACACAACCTGATATATAAAACAACCTGGATTACGATGTTTCCTACCCTATGTATCTGGTTGTTCAGATTTGGTGAAAGGGATTTAAGAAGGAAAAGGAAGAAATGAAATGGTGTTGGCTCAAATTAAAGGTCACAGTTCCCTTAAGAGTCAATTTGACTATTCTTTGGAGTAAAATTCGAAGATAATTCATGTGTGTCTTAAGATAAATATAAGCATTGCAATGCAAAGCTGAAAAGAAAGCTTGAAAAAGAATCCAGAATTAGATGAAAACACAAGTCAAAAAGATGATGATGAAGATTTAACTCACGAAGGGGAACAACAATATTCAATTTGAAATAAAAGAGAATATAAACTAGGCTAACTATTACCGAGTGAACGGCACCAATACGAGCACAAGCAAGCATCGCAATTGGTAGCTCCATAAGCATGGGTAAGTAAATGACAACTGCATCACCCTTGCGAACTCCAATATCTTTCAAGTAATTTGCTAGCTGGTTAAAAAGAATATTAGAAACTTGTACCATATTTTTGCTCACTATTGTATAAGCGGAAATATAAAATATAAGCCTTGTATGAGGAGCAGTAAAAAAACTCAAAAGCAAACCTGGCAAACTCTAGCCAAGAGTTGATTGTAAGTCAAAGAACTATCAAGACCAGGTTCATTTCCTTCCCAGTAAATAGCAATTTTGTCACCATTTCCAGATTCTATGTTTCTATCCAAGCAGTTGTAGCAGATGTTTGTCATTCCACCCTTGAACCACTGTTAAGAAAGACAAAAGTTGGTAACAAGCTTTTGAGAGATGAATAAACGGATAAGTCACTGACCTCGATCTGGATTTTCCCCTTTCGAATATCAAGATTCTCAAAGTAGACCTGTTGGCCCCATTTCTCTCTCCAGTAGAACTCTGATGCAATGTCGGACCAGAATCCGGCGGGATCCTGGACCGACCTTCTATACATCTCCAAATACTACACAGAAGTTTGAAGGGATCAATACTTTTATCTTTTCCATGATAAGGTTCAATAGTTATAAGACCAAATAGATAGATTGAAGAAAAGATGATGAGGCAAGGAGGGGAACCTTCTGAAGAGAAGAAACATGAGCTTGGCGAGAGAAATTTTCGCTGGGAAAGACGAGATCATCCTCCTCGGAAGCAAGTGCCTCGCCTAAGATGACAGCATTCAATCTGGTTATCTTGCCGGCTCCAGAAGGCAGTTTGGCCATGGATTCGACATGGCGCATGTGATTCGATGTCGTCAAGTTCTTCCTTGGACTGACGGTAGTGGATGACGATGAAGAAGAAGTGAGCGGGTCTTCCATCGGACTTCCCCCAAATCGGAACGTGAACGAAGGCCTCTTGACGCTCACCCACGGCCGGCTAAGCTGGGACTTGGCAGTGCGAGATATCGGAATTGGAGATGCTGAAATATAAATACCGCTGGTGCTGTTATTATTATTATTCCACAAAGGATGATGGGTCATCCTTCCTTCCATAACTATTTTAATGGTGCTTCCTGCTTCCTAGGGAAGTGCCAATATTCTACTACAAGAAATAATGAAAAGCTTTGAATATTTTATTCTGCAGTCTTCTCATCTCTTTTTTCTATTTTTTTCGACCAAAAGGAAAACGAACTGTCATGGGCGGCTTTTCAGCCGTGCCCATCACCCCTACGCGCGCCCTGTGGCGTCCTACCAAGTCTTTCAATGCCTAGCGCCACGGACGGTCCCGTGGTTTTGGTTGCGCCAAGTGATAAGCGCGCATGTGCTTCTGTCACCCCACCGATATCCCTCGCCAGCGCCCAACCGCACGCAGATGCCAACGGCGCCGCGCGCGCAGACCCTGATGCCAAAGACTATGCTGCTGACAACGGACTTGTTTCTGCCT